CTTTAAATCCAAACGAGGCACATCACACCTTGCCCCCTCCCAGCTTCCAGAGTGGTCCATTCTAGTTTGATACAGAGGTTTATGTCTTTACAGCAGTGCAGAAACTTTATTTTCTTACAAACGAAAGATGTCAACAACAGAAGACTCACATGTTGGAGCCAGAGTCTGACCCAGAACCAGAGGAGAATGAAGACGATGAAACTGTAGTTTATAAATCCAGATCTTATTTAGAAGTTCTGTCACAAATAATTTGACATCATAGTTCAGAAAATGTCATAAAAACTGAACAGGTTGAAAAATATGATCCCAACAGAATAAAAAAAAGGTATCTTTGCAGCACCAGGAGAGACTAAATTCAAATGTTCCGCACTCATAGATCCTCCAAGTCCACAAAATGTATTTAACAGCTAAAAAAAGGTGGATTTTGCAGATAAAAATAAAAGAACTCACATGGAAACAAACAGGATCAGTTTCATTGCTCCCCTCTCTAACAAAGCTTACATCTTTGAGAGAACCCAGACTCTTATTGATGTAAAATCATCGCAGTGGGAGGCGAAAACATCCTGGGAGGCACACTTGGCACAACCGAGAACTCACCACATATTTACAAAAACATTGTTTTTGTAAAGTGGTTTCAGAAATGAGAGCATTTTTGGTGTAAACACATGATCCAGTTCTTGTTTTTCCTCATGTTTGAGTGGAAGGTGTCTGAATTGTCCTTCTCCAGTTTTGACAATGCATCACTTTCAAATTTTATGGATATTTGGTTCCGATTAAATTATAATGTCACAATAAAAAAATACAGTTTCTCTCATATTTGAGAATCTAAAGGCTTATTTGTCAGCTTGAAGCTGTGTTTTCTTTCTTTGATTTTAACAATTACCTATAGAGTTGAGTGCAACAAGTCAAGAGAAGTCCAGCTTCTCAAGCCTGCCTTTCTTTCAGTGCGATCCAGTTTTTTTCACACAGTCTTTTGTTCCTGTGTGTTTTTATGCGATTGCACATGTACACAAACAGTGTGAGAGAAGGGTTCCTCTGCACAGCACGTTAAACGCTCAGGGGCGAGTTTCCACCACAAACAACACAACTTCTAACTTGCCACAAAAACGCAGGTGTTGTTCAAACGCTGGACAAAATGTCAGCTGTCTCCTTGAACAACACTGAGAAATATTCCACAAAATACTTTTCTGTCAAAGTCAGAAAAMAAAGGAAAATGAGCTAAACAGAGTAAGAATCGACCCAGACCGGACAATAAGCACCACTTTCCCTTTGACATTTTGACAGGAGACAGATATGAAAGAGGAATTGAAGCCCCCCCATTAGTAGAACTCATCAGTCATTCATCGGGACCACTCGGACCCCATGCGCGTTGATGTAGGTGAGGAGAACCTCGGCTCGTTTCTCGACGACATCGATCAGCTTGTCGACGCCCGCTCGGCCTCCCTGGCTCTCCCAGTAAAACTGATCCAGGAAGAGCGACTGGAGAAGTTTCTCCCTCAGCTTCCTGCTCCTCAGCACAGACACGGCCTCCTCTGGAAGCCTGGAAACAAAGAACACGTTTATTTACAGACACACTCAGATCCACGCGTCATAAATGAGTCTGAGGAGCTCAGGTAAARGTAGAAACTGTAAAGCTAAAAATAAAAGTCGAGTAAATCCTCCGGATGAGTTCTTTGTTGAAAAAAATATTTAGTCTTTTCTCCAAGAGATTTCTTCAGTCAGAGATCAACTATTTTTGTGCACTTATTATACTGTTAAAAGCCATTACATAAATATAAATTATTTGCCAAGTGTCAAACTCACTGGTGCTACTTGTGTCAACTATGACAGTTAAATGCAACTTCACTTGTTAAACTTTGTACAGCTATCATTTAAAGCAATAAAAGTAATGAAGAATTAAAACACTTAACACTTTTGCACATTCTGTTCATCAAATTTGACCCTGTTTGCATTTAAACGTGAGCAGCTATAAGTTTATAAAAACAAAAAACTGTTAGATTAAAGTGTGGTCTGAAGTGCTGTAATCGTTTCTACAGTCAAGATAGTTAATTTTGTTAATTTTATGACATTTTAGCTACAAGTGTTTCAAATTGGCACAGCATAAGTTTTAGATAAATATCTTGTAACACGTTGGACAGATTTGAAAATAATTACTGAATGTGACTCATCATATCAAAATGAGGATTAAGTTAAATTTGGTCAAAGTGACATAAGCTTTGAGACCTGGATCAACCTGATACCACAAGCAGATCCAGAGATATGAAGTAATTTCTCTTCTTGGTTACAGTGATACATTAATATTTGGTCTGAATCCTAATTTGATGTAATTTTGATGAGAAATTTTCGATGTCATTATGAAGAGAAAACCTCAAATACTTTTGGAAAATTGAGAATTCCCAGCTGGAAAGAAGGCAGCATGGTGGCTCAGTTGGTAGAGCTGATGCCTCTCAGCAAGAAGGTCACCAGTTCAAATCCCGGTCGGGGGACCTTTCTGGGTAGAGTTTGCATGTTGACTCAGTGCATGCGTGGGTTCTCTCCGGGTACTCCGGCTTCCTCCCACAGACCAAAAGCATGACTGTTAGGTTAATTGATAACTCTAAATTATCCCTAGGTGTGAGTGAGAAAGTGAATGGTTGTTTGTCTCATTTGTCTCTATGTGTGGCCCTGTGATGGACTTGCGACCTGTCCAGGGTGTACCCCGCCCCTTGCACTGTGACTGCTGGTTATGGACACCAGTGACCCACGCAACCCTGAAAAGGAAGAAGCGTGTACAGAAGATGGATGGATGTGACTCATCATATCAAAATGAGGATTAAGTTAAATTTGGTCAAAATGACCTAATAAGCTTTGAGACCTGGATCAACCTGATACCACAAGCAGATCCAGAGATATGAAGTAATTTGTCTTCTTGGTTACAGTGATACATTAATATTTGGTCTGAATCCTAATTTGATGTAATTTTAATGAGAAATTTTCGATGTCATCATAAAGAGAAAACCTCAAATACTTTTGGAAAATTGAGAATTCCCAGCTGGAAAGAAACAAAAACTCTGCTAGCACACAGGGAAAAGCTAAAACTTTTAGTGTTTTTCCTCAAAATCAGTTTTTTTCCTGCTACTGCTTAAAAAAGTGCTTACCATATTTATTCATGTATAATATGATCTCATGTATAATACAACCCCTCCCCTCTTTGAGCTTAAAAAGYATAAAAAATTTAATCCTCAAACTACCTCCAATTTCATACAGACTTCAARATTTTTCAGCCTTTGCAGTCTTTATACACATCAGTAAAATGACCATTGGACTGTTCATTTTATTTTAACAACATATGTACTAAAAGATCTTTTGACAACAAATATATATCAGCTGTAGCAGCATCATATGAATTCTGGCATTTTACACATTGTCCACCAGGTGGCGCCAACACAAAAGTCAAAGACTTCACATGAGATTTGGACCATCTTGTGGGGGAAAAGCAGATTACTTCCTACTCGCGAGCGCCCCCTCTGGTGGGGAAACTTTTTTTCAGGGATACAAACTTTTTCAGAACACCGGTAGACGGCAGCCATTACAGACGAACATGTGTTTGTTGTTGTTCGAGGAGCGCCCCGGTCACACGCTAATGTCATTAGTTTGTTATCATTACTAAGGTGCAGGAATACTTTTTTCACATCATGTCGCCTGCCTGGATCTGTTATTATCTCGCTGTGAAGCATGGAGGAGTGTCAGAGGTAAGCTCGCTTCAACTGCTTTTTACGACGCGGTCTCATTTCCGGACTCAGGCATTTTGAGAATGAAGTCGATGTTTCAATTAAAATACACAAGTAAAAAATATTTATCCGAGTACAGTACTACCCCCCCAACTTTATGGATGATTTTATGGATTAAATTTTACATTTTATACTTGAATAAATGTGGTAATTTTTTTTAGGATTATATTTCAGACAGCTCATTCAAATGTTTCAATCAAAACACTATTGCCTATTTCTCCACATCCCACTTTTAGACTTAATCCTTGTTTCGATGTGATGGGTACATTTGTTTAACTTTTGGAGTCTACGCACTTCAAGACGACTGCCGCATCAAAACCACTTTTGTAAGCACTTTTTGAAAATATTCTTGGAAAATGTTAACAACTTAATAAATCGTAGTGACAGCCCAACCTCCACAGGTAGTACGCACTCCTTCGAGGAATGGTGGGCTTTTATTTTTTGTCATTTTTTATCATATGATTGGTGTTTTTATGGTTTAAAACTTACTCCTTGATTCCCTCCAGCAACATGAAGTCCAAGTTGTCCTCATTGCGGTCAAAGAATCCCTTGTTGTTCATGAACACCAGGTGCCTGAGGTCATGACTCCTATGGATGATGTTTRCCAGTTTTATATTGTCCAGGTTCTTACAGGAAGCCCGCGGGCCCACTTCATCGCACACGTCCTCCCGCCGAGGCCTGAATCCACAGCAGCTCTGATCCAGACGACTGTGAATCTGAAGAGACAGTTCAGATATATCCACTTTATATGGTGCTTGATCACACACAAGTTAAAAAATTACATTTTCTTTAGTCTTTTTTTTTCTTTGCAAGGAAACATTGTTTTTAATCAAGTGAAAAGGGTTTAGGAATGAAAACATTAAACATCTCCAGCCGGTTGGTCTTTGGAGTACCTCTTTGGCAGAAGTGCAAACAGTTGGAATTCTACTTCAATTAACCGCCCCGTGGCTCAATAACATAATTACTAAGGGGATTTTTTTAAAGCTTAACAGGCAGCACCTCCTGCTGCACAACACCTGCCGCCTCCACAGGGAATAAAAACAGTAAATTCGATTACAACCTTTATCCTTTTATGCACTAAATGAAAAATCGTGCAATGTGGGTTCCGGATGGTGTAACCAAAGACGGATGAGCAATACCGCTGATGTCACTTCTAAGGTTCAGAGATGTTCACGCCGCTCGCAGGCAACAACTGAACGACCTGCAGCGATACGAGCAATCTTCAGGGCATGAAGTGAGACGAACAAATAAATAAGCTCACCATCATTTAAGCGTACATTACTTTAAATCAAAGCCTGCGCCAACTGAATCTGACAGTGTTTATTTCAATAAGCGCCRTTTTGGAACTGAGCAAGAGAGTCAAGTCTCTGAAAGAAGAAAAGTGTTGGAGGATAGGCACCCGTTCAAGAAATGCTAGGCTTTTATTGTGAAAAGTTGCGATTTTTTTTAAACACTGATTGGGACTTGTTTGATGTGATCAGAAATATGGACATAAAATGTAACTCATTATGAAATGTTTAGTCCACTTTGGAAAATGCATCTCCTTTAGGCAAT